GCCGTCAATCCACATGGCAACAAAGGTAGGCACGAATCTTAATCATACATCATTCGTCTAACACTCTAGGCAACCCGATCATTCAGTCGCTCAGCCAATCATCCTTGCAATCATGCTACGACCAAATCTCTAATCACGGCTCACTGCATGCAGATATCGAAGTGAGAGAAGCAAAGTTACCATAATTCACCCGTTATGACATATTGCGACTGGAGGAAGGAGAGTAGGGACGCAGACCAGGAGGGAGAAACGAGTAGAAAGCAATCACTGAATGACAGGCGATCTTGCCCTGAGATGCCCCGACTTAAAAGCCGAGCGATTAAAACTCACATTCGAAGATAAAAATTTTGGAGCAGAAAAGAAAGAAAGCATTTTTGCCATAAAATTCCACCATGGCCCCGAGCCATGCACTCACTCACTTCCGACTCGAATGTCTCACTTGCATTGACGATCTCGGTCGTCACGTGCCAATCCACCATAGCGATCGTCACCCCGCCGACTTAGCCTCTGCACGGCCCTGCTCAGATCCCACAGTCCGTCGGGCGATCCAGCATGCCAAGCGCCAAGACTACAGCCCGCTCGTCAGGACTTTTCGACTCACATCTTTCTTCATACCATCTAGCCACAGCTTCCCGGAAGCGGGCGGATGAGTCGAGAGAGAGTTTTCCGGGAGCGCTTGCGGAATTTGTAGCTGCGGAAGAAAGGATAGATGCTAGGAAGGGTTAGGACTGAGACAAGGAGGAGTAGGAGAAGACTCAGGGATTGACCGTCGAAAGCCATGTCGATCCTTTGGATCCCAGCTGCAGCCAATCAGAATCGTCGTGTATCAGGAATTTCCCTCTTACACGGCGTGTCTCTTTGGCTAGAGGGAGTGATAGGGGGTCGACCTGGTGTTTCGGCGTGGGGGATCAGAGCGGGAAGAATAAGCGAAACGGAACCAAGATTCAGATGATCAAGGATGAGAGAAAAGGCGCGCAAGGCGATGGGGACATGAAAAACGGTTACAGAGAGAGGAGGGGCATGAGCGCGAGGAAGGGGAGTGTCGAGGGCAGCGGGGAGGGGAGACTCGCATGCATGGCGCTGTCACGAAGGCAAAAAGGGCACCGAAACAGTTATGGCTGATTCAAATTGAAAAATACCATATCCGCGAGGCAAAGTGGGTGCATGGGAAAGTCCTCTCCCTATTCAGATTTCTGCGAAAATTCCCAGAGCTTTCCAAGACGAAGTTGCGAATATTCATGCACAAGAAAGGACACGTCGGATCCTGCTTATTCCGAAATTCCTAACCGTCGACCCAAATTCCTAGCGCACTCGCTCAGGCGCGAGTAATTCCCATGTAATTCCCAATTTGCAAAAAAAAAGACAATTTTTCAAAAATTGATCCGAGGTCCCCACATATTACATTCATGAAAATACAAAAAGAGGCCTCGTCGGATGGTCACCCAAAATTCGACAAAAAGACAGAGAAAAAAGGGGGGGGAGGGAAGATAGCGCAGGTCCGGAACTTGGCGCGTCACATACCTTACATCCATTTTCTTGAACAAATTGGCCTTGTCGTAAGCGCTCCAGAAACACCCCTTCTTCATAACACTTGGCAATCAAGTTTCGTATCCTATCCTCCTCCGATAACGGAATATCCTCAGGAGGGGGGGAACAGTCTTCGTTCTCATACCTGCTCCTGAGGCCATCTTCTTGGTCTGTCAACTTGTGATTTCTGACTACCCACCCTCTTGCTTCCTTACTTTCTTCGTCCCTTTTGCGGGCATTCTTCCAATCGATACCTCTACAACTCCCCCGCTACACGTTGTCACATCTGCCGACGGAAGCCTACACCACATCCACGCGTTTCTCACGACCGATACCTTGAAAAGAACCTCCTGTAGGGAGGAGGCTAGAGAGTACCATAGTTAGAACCAGAGCACTCGGTTCTGTAGGGACGCAGTGGTCCAGGTAGGAGAGTGCGGTAGAATAAGGAACGATGGCAGCGTTCCACCAGATCGCATAGACCTGGGCGTCGTGTTCGACGTAGGGTAGGAAAGGGTATCGGTAGAAGGAAGTACTGAGTTGAAGGTAAGGAAGGCACGATACAATTAGAAGAGGTACAAGGAAACACGAAAATAGAGAAAGAGAGAGTATTGGATTTGGAATTCGAATTACTGTGTTTGGCCTCCAGTTCGACTGGGGTTGTAAGCTAAACTAGCTGATACTGTGTTACATGCCCAGATATGCAATGTACGCAATAACCGAGGATCTGCAATGTGATGAAAAGGACTAAATGGACAATGCGGTGTGAATAGAATCTCGACAAGCAATGTGCATTCTCATACATATAATGGTGCTGAATAGCGCAGGGAAGACTTAAATACAAAGATTGACCTGACCGGGGCTGAGCTCATTCACGTAGTACAAAGTAGCGAAGCAGAATGCTAGAATGCTAATAACTAGCCCAATCAATGTTTGAACTCAGACCAAACATACATCGTATC